CACAGACTGGATTAACTACACCAATGAGCTTTCTCCCAAATACCACCCTGGATAGAAGGACAAACCTCATTCCTCTGCCATTCGTCCAGCATCTGAGCCCTCCTGTGGGCCAGACTGAGGTCACAGAGGTGACTCTCACACAGTCTTTGCCCTTGAAGAGGGAAATATGATGCGGACACAAATAGAGAGTTGGTGGAAGGAATGAGGGCAGCCTGCCTGAGTTTGAGTGTGCAAAGGGCCTGGCTGGCCTGGCGGAGCAGGCACTCACCACAGCACCCTCAACCAGGTCATGTCCCAACAGGGCAGTGGCTGGAGTGGGGGCGGGGGACATTCTACAGAGGGGATTAAGGTTCAGGGAGGAGTTGAGACTCGTCATCAGCTGGTACCAGGAGAGGCTGGGGCTAACACTTCCAGATTAGAATCTTGGTGCCCTTAAAGCCGCTCTCAGGCTGATGATACAGGCATGCTAATTTAGTTTCAGCTCAGAGAGGTTGGGCAACTTGCCCACAGTCACCCAGCTTGTAACAGATAGGATCAGGCTGGATGTCTTTCCATGCCCAGTCAAGATGGCTGGGGCACTCATCTCACAGGAGTAGGTCAGGGACAGCAGCAGGAGGGTTAGAGACTCTAGGTGGGGCAATGACAAGAGATGCAAAGGAGGCATCTGCTGAACATTCACTATGGCTTTATCTTTTTTAAAAAATTGAATTTACTAGGGTGACATTGGCTCATAAAATTATATAGATTTCATATAATGTGTCATCTGTATGTTATATCGTGTGTTCACCACCCCCAGCCACGTCTCCATTTAACTAACCCCCATCCTTCTTTCCTCTGGGAATCACCATACTGTTGTCTACGAGGTTTTTTTGTTGTCTTTGCTTAATCCCTTCACCTTTCTCACCCAAGGACTGTTATCTTACTCAATCCTTCCATCACCCTATGAGGTACTGTTGTCAGCTGCATTTTACAGACAGAAAAATCACACCCAAAGTCACACTGTTGATGGCCAATGTGACTTTGTCAATGTACCAATGTACCAGTGCCGGGCGTCCAAGCCACCCCCGCAGCCCCATTCCCCACTCCCCAGCAACGCCACTTATGTTCAAACAAGCTGAACCAATGTTTTAATCCTCAGCTGAATATGTTACTGCTGTAATTTATTGATTTTTAGAGAAAGGAAAGGAGAGAGAAAGAAACACTGATCGGTTGCCTCCTGCACATGCCCTAACCAGGAACAGAACCCACAACCCAGGCACGTGCCCTGACTGGGAATCGAACTGGCAGCCTTTTGGTGTACGAGACAACGCTCCAATCATCTGAGCCACCCAGCCACGGCACAAATGAGCTGAATTTTAACCAAGGGCCTCTCTCTACCACTAATAGGTCATTTCTACCTGTCCAACCAGTTTCGAGGACTAAATTTGCAGCCCAGGTTTCAATAAGAACAAAGAGTAAGGCACTTCCATTCTCTTTGATCCCCGTTTAAGAACAACATGGCCACCGCCTCCCCCGCCCCCTCCCAAGCTCAGGTGGCTGCACCTTTGGGCCCTTCAACCTGCAGACACCTCCGCTCCACACCAGGAGTTTCCCGGTGGCAGTACCCCCTCCCACACTGCAGGACTGACTCTCCGGGGCTGGAGGTCAGGGAGTGGTGCGTGAGTCACTGGTAGGACGAGAGGGAAGAGAAGACAAGCTCCCAGACTGTGTGGCCAGTGTCACATGCCGTGCAAGCCCCACGCCTCCCTGCACAGCGTGCAGCTGGGACAGCTGAGCCTTGGGTCATTCTTGCAGTTTGATCTAGAAGGGTTCCCGGTGCAAGTCTGGCCTCGGCCCTCAGAAGAGCTGGAATCATAGGGTGGGGTGGGGTGCAGCCAGCGAGCCCCTCCTCTCTGGTGCCCACTTCCACACCCTCCCCCTCCGCGGAGAGCAGAGCGTACACATGCCCAGCCTGGCAGCACTGAGGCAGGTCTCATAGTTTCCACCCCACCTTCTCCCCAGTTCATCCCTGGGCTCAGGCTCCTGGGTGGTCAGCAGGGCAGGGACCGCTGTTTCCCAGATGAGGAAACAAACAAGCTGAGCAGGAGCCAGTGCCTTGCTGGAGGCCTGGAAGCCCACTGGTCTGGCCGGGCCTCCCCCTTTCAGAACGGCTGCACTCGTGCCCACTAGCTCTCCTTCAACCGTAACCGCTGCATGTTCTTCGAAGGACCGAGGACAGACACGTCTGCTCTCCCATTCTGGTGGGGGAGACCACTAACGTGAAACAAACATGGGTGTATCATGTAGAGGGAGAAAACAAGCAGGCCCCGGGACGGGGGTGGGGGGGACACCACGTGAGATGGGAGCCAGGGAAGGACTCTGTTCTCTGGGAGGCCTGGGACCTCCCTAACATCTCCCTCCTCCACAGCACCTCACTTCCAGAAAGCCCCGGCTTTGGCAGAGCCTGATGGGTCCTGCCCTCAGGCAGACACCTCCCGGACTCCCACCCAGTGGGGCCAGCACTCTGGTCCCCCTCCCAGCCCTCCTCTACCCCAGCCCGAGGCTGCCAGGGGCCAGAGCGTCTCCGCAGGGCGAGGCTCTGCTGAGCAGGCACCCGTGTTGGGCCCCGATTCCTCGCGGCTGCTTTCTCCCAGGCAGGGGTGCTCTGCACCTCCGGGCCCGGCAACGTCTCCATCTAGGATGGAGGAACAGCCTCCGAATGACCTCTCTCCCAGTTCAGACCCAGCAACTCCTCCCTCACGCTTGGCCCTGGAATCACGTCAGCACAGTAGGCCCCAGGATTACTCCTCATCACCCTTCCCACTGGGTCCCCTGCTTTCTCACGGCTGACGGATCACCTCCAAAAATCTCCGCCCGCTCCTCCTAGACCCACCCACTGCTCCCTGCAGCCCCAGCCAAGACCCTGTGAACTACAACCCGCTGGTCCACCAACGGCCATCTTCCCCCAGGCCCACGAGTCCCATCTCTGCCCCTCTCCTGGACGCTTGCAAAGCAGACACATCCAGGCCCGACCCTGTGAACCAACTCCTCTAGCCTGACTCTTAAAATGGCCAATATCAACTGACTTCGCCCCTAAAATGACCAATAACAACTGCAGCTTCATGAAGGCTCACCTTGGCCAATAACTTTTCACACACAATCTGATTTATTCCTCTCTTAAACCCTGTGGCACAGAGGTTGTTGTTGTTTTTTAAAAAAATATATTTTTATTGACTTCCGAGAGAAAGGGAAAGGGAAAGAGAGATAGAAACATCAATGATGAGAGGGAATAATTGATTGGCTGCCTCCAGCACATCCCTAACTGGGGATCAAGACCACAACTAGGGCATGTGCCCTGACCAGGAATCGAACCATGACCTCCTGGTTCATAGGACAAAGCCACCCCAGCCAGAAGGCATGGGTATTATCACCCACTTTACGGATGAGGAAACGGGGGCTCAGAGGAATTCGGTTACCAGCCTGAGGCCTGAGGTCACGAAGCGGGTAAAGGAGAGTCAGGACTTGAACTGGAGCCTCTGCTCTTCCCCACCCTGCTGTCCCCCCAGGCCTTCCCCTGCCTGCTCTGAGCTCTCCGGACTGAATCCCATGCTCCAGCCGGGGCCCATTCTCACTCTTCCCTTCCTCCAACCCAAAAGTGACCCCTATCCCTGAGGCCCAGAACCCAAGAACTTGGCTGGCTTCCAACGCCAACAACCTTAAATTACGCCCTACCCAGATGCCTCAGTGAATAATAAGAGTGTAGACCTGCAGACTGAAGGGTCCCAGGTTCGATTCCGGTCAAGGGCACAAACCCGGGTTGCAGGCTTGATCCCCAGGAGGGGGCATGCAGGAGGAAGCCAATCAATGAATCTCTCTCATCGTTGATGTTTCCATCTCTCTCTCCCTCTCCCTCTCTGAAATCAAGAAAAAATATATATATTTTAAAAAGAATCTTAAATTAACCCCTGCCTCTTTAAGAGTAGAGTCCCCCTGGCATTGATGGTGGACTCCCTGTGTGTTCAGCTTCCACATTTCATCACACCATCAATCCCTCCTTTGCCACAGACTAGCAACAGCCCTTCCTCTGTCCCCAGGGCCAACAGAGCAACTTCTGCACAGCCGGGGGCTCTTTGCGGGCTCTCCGCCCCAGCAAGACAGACTTCACCGGCAGACACGGACTCAGCCTCACCGCTGCCCTCCACCTTCCCAGCCTGTGCGAAAAGCACTCCTCCGGCGAGCCGCTTTCAGTGCCAACGCTGACCTGACCTTCTCCAGGGGCCTACAATCCAAAGGTCTGCTTCCTCTCCCACACCTCAAGCCACCCACCTTCTCCAATGTTCCCACCTTCTACTGACCAGCAGCTCCGATTCCCCAATTCTTTCTCGGCTGGGAAAAAAGAAGAGCCTTCTATAACCAGGCCCCTGCGCCTGAACGACTACGGAGTGACTTTTCTCCTTCTTCATGCCAAGATCTAGCACCTCTGACTATCTCCCCCACCCCAAATGGGCCACCACCTCTGCTCCTTTTCTGGGAGTTTACCTGGACTCCCTTTTCCCGACCCCGGGATTTACCGCCTCCTCCACAGCCACAGTCCCGACGTATTCCCTTCCTCTTCCCGCCGGGCTTGTAGACCAGGAAACCTAACCGCTTTCATCCCCATGGCCCATCAGACTTCTCCACCTGCGCTTTCAGCACCCATGCTGACCTTCTCCCTCCCGATAGCTCTCTCCATCCTTCTCTGGGGGGAACTATGAACTCAGAGGCTAACGTCCTTCCGATTTCCCAAACTTTCTTTTAATTGCTCGTCGTTTTAATTCCTGAAACGATCGAGGCGGAGGTGGGGGGTGGGTATAAAGGAGCTACATCTCACCTTCCCAGCCCAATAGCTATCCCATCTCTACCTGAAGGCTGTCACCTTAAGTCATCATTAGGAGCCATGTACTGAGCACCCCCTGCGTGCCGGGCGTTGCACCGACTCCCGAGACCCCCACGCGCCGCCCCCTCGCCTTGGTTGTAGTTACCGTGTCTCCAAGGGTCTTTGGGCTCCACCGCTCCGGACACAATATCCTCGTCGGAGGGGAACGTGACGCGCTTAGCCGCAGCCTTGAGGCGCCCATCGGTCGGGGACGATGCGGGGCTGGGAGACTGGGCCTCGGCGGGCGCCTCTTCGGCGGCGTCGCCGTCCCCGCCGGGCCCGGGCGGCGCCTCCTGCGGCGGGTTCTCCATCGCCGCCGCCGCGTCCTCACGGGGGCCCCGGGGACATGCCCCGGGCCCCGGACTTGTCTCTCCGGGCCCGCCCGCCGTCTCGGGGCATGGGCTCCGCCGCTCTTTCAAGCGCCGCCTCCGTCCGCTTTCCTGGTCGTCGTAGTCGTCGCCGCCACCGGGAGCCCGAGCGCGCCTCCCCCGAGCTCCGCGCCCGCCTGCCTGTCCGCAGCCGCACTTTCGTTAAAGGCCGGTGAGCCCACCGCGCGCCAAGGAAAGCAGAAAAATCTATGTGAGCTGTCTGCGATCAGAGTTGCCTCGCGGGCTGCTGAAGCGGGAGAACCAAAGGCAGCCGGAGCCTCGGGAGAAAGAAACGTGAGCACGGAATCCGCAGAGCCGGAACTGCAGAGCGCGGCGGGCGGGGCGAGGCGGACGCCGTCTCCCGGAGCAGCGCGCACGCGCGAACCCGAGCCGCCCTCACCCCGCCTTCCCGCCTCCGGCCACATAGCTGAGGTTCAGGCTCGCACACTTTCGTCACTAGCTCAGACCCCGCCTAAGGGCTGGGGGTTGATAAAGATAAAAAGAAACAACTGCTGCACCGGGCTAGACCAACTCATAAGGAGAGAGGTGACGGAGTGGAGAACTTGGAAGGTGATAGTTGTTGAATATGAGTATTGGTAAAGGATGCTGACGGAGGGATCCTCTACCTGGAGACGGAGTTTCTGCCCCCTTGCTGGTCTGTAGCCTTTCACTTGCAGACTGCAGTTTCATCAACAATTTTCTGTAGCTGAATAGCGTTGTATAAGATACAATTATAGTTTATGAACTAAAATAAGTATGAGCATAGCCTTGATTTTAAAAGGGGATGGGTGGGCGAAGAAGGAAGTCCAAAAGCAGGAGGAATCTGCCCAAAATACCAAGCGATGGAGCATTGAGCAGAGACCAGCAGGAGCTCAAGCCACGCCCCCGCACGCCTTTCCACGCCCCTTCCCTCCCGCGCCCCGAGTCCATTCAATCACTTAACATTCGCTTCCGCACTTTCGCGGTGCTTTCCCCAGCCATTGCAACAATGGGGGGGCGGGGGGAGGCGAGAGGCGGAGCTAAAACCCAAAATAGGGGACTCGGGGAGAAACGAGCGACGTCGTTGCCAAGGCAACTCGAGAGCGAGGCCAGGGACTCGCCAGAGGTGGCGTTGTGAATGGACATGTGGAAGCTGAGGCTTTACACTCGTCTTCGACTTCATTGGCCACCACACTTTCGTGACGGAAGAGGAACGAAGCAAACCTCATGTACCTGTAATGGAATCTCCACCTACATTTTCAAGTTAATGGGATTAAAAGGGGGCAGGAATTACTTTTTAAAAACGAATCTGCCAAACGACTACTAGTGACGGGGCTAAGTAAAGCAAGTGATATGGACGGCCATGCCATAGAGCTGGGGCAAAATGGAGAAGAGGTGAAGCTTCACCCTAATCCCTAATCCTCAGCCATTTTCTCAATGGCGCCGCGGAATCCGACCTTTCCTCACGTGCGGTGGGGGAAGCGAATCTGGTGGTCTCACCATCCAGGCCACACAGGAGCGCATCCCTTGCTCTGAACATCTCCTCCCACCCAATAAATTTAATCCAGAACATCCAAGCCTGTTATCCAGGTCGCTCCAGCCGTTCCCCACAGCCAGGAGCAGTTCAATCCCTGCATCTTTATCCAAGTTTCTCCCAGCCTTCTGATGCGCCCTTCTTTTTGGCCAGGTCCATGGGATTCAGTCCTTGGGTAGCTATCCTCCCGCCCCTTAAATCTTGCTTCATCCCTGTTTGGCTACACTTACATTAAAAAAACCAAAAAGGGCCCTAGTTGGTGTGGTTCAGTGGGCAGAGCGTTGGGCCTTTGGACTGGAGAGTCCCGGTTCCATTCTGGTTAAGGGCACATGCCCGGTTGTGGGCTGGATCCCCAGTAGGGGGCGTGCAGCAGGCAGCTGATCAATGATTCTCTCATCTTTTGATGTTTCTCTACCTTTCTTTCTGAAATCAATAAAAATATACTAGAAGAAAAAAAACAGGAGGCGGATTTTTCTGTAATAATAATTGTTCTTTGGCAGGACAGTAGTATTGGGGAAATTTCTTCAGGGTGACTGAACTTTGCAACTTCTGTAATAAACAATTTCCCACTCTGCAATTTGCCTTCCTTTATTCCCACTGCCCCCCTCCCTAACCCCACCCACCTCCAGTCTTCAGGATCTGTCCCAAGACCCACATTTCTGTAGACTTTAAAGTTTTGTGAGGTAGAGCATTCCTTTCAATGGGACCTAGAACTTGTGGGGTTGCAGAATTTTACTGACTAGACACCGGAGATCTGAAGAAGTCAGTTGCTTGGAGCTTGGCTCAAAACTCCAAGGGAATTCTGAACTCTGTGAGGCCCAGAGACCTGGAACTGCTGGAAGCCTGGGAATTTGTGGCGAGGCCTAAGGCAGGAGGTGGCCACAATAATGTCTTCATAGCTTGAAGGTGTAAGCAATAATGTCACTGCACCGGAGCAGCGCCTCCGCCTGCACACCTATCGGCGTCTGCAGCTGCAACACGTAGAAGTTGGCCACGTCCACGTCAGTGGCTCCGAAGTGGGCGGTCACGTGCACACCCTCGTGCAAGGTGAAGCTGACCTGGCGGCCCACCATGGCCAGCAGGCTGCGGAGATAGCGCTCCCGGAGGACGGCTCGGGCCCGCTGTTCCTGGGACTCCTGACATTCGTGAACTGCAGGAGACTCCGGGGTTTCAGGAACCTCTGGCTTCAGGGGAGCCCTCCGTCCGTCAGGCGCAAAGCCCCTGCTCAGGCCCTGGGGGCCGCGGGGGAGCCGGAGCACAGGCACAGGGCTGCTCAGTGGAGTCTGCATTGTCCAGGCTGTTGGTAAAGAAGAGCAGGGGGTCATTACGTAGGGAGGTGAGATAAGAGGGAGAACTGGAAGCAGAGGCTTTTCTGCCACATCTCAGCCCAACCTGTCCAAAACCAGCCTCCTGATCCCCCTTCTAAAATCTGCACCATCCCTCCACCAGTCCCGTATTCCCAGGAGCTGCCAACACCATTCCTGAGGGCCACAGAGCGGGGACTTCTGCCTGATGTTATCACAGCTTGACTCCGTTCCTGGCCACAAACATGTGCTGAAAGACCCGTCCTCCTTTCCTCTCTCACACATGGCCCATCCGATCCACCAGGAAATGCTACCTGCCAAGTAAATCCCGCCCCACAGACGCCAGCCTGGCAGGGCTCCCATTGGACAAATCTGGAATGAGTTAAACATTTAAATATGACAATTACATATTATAACCACTGAATAAAACAGAAATCCATGAGTCCATGCTAACTAAAAACGCACAAAGGAGAAGAAAACTTCCTTCTTATCTTAGAACGGCTAAAACTTGTCCAGGAACATCGATGAGGTCCAGGCTATCTACATAGTCTTAAAGTGCCTCCTCCCAGGAGATTCACTGTAAAGAGTAACTTTCTGGTGGAGAAACCTGGCGGACACCATCACTTAGGCATCAAAGCCAATAGGTGCAGTAATGAGACAGCAGACACCATGGACCTCCTGATGTGATATATTAAGAAGGACAGAACACAGGTGTGTGGATTACCTGAATCTAATCGTGAGGGACAATTGTGTCTGATCAATCTACTCAACTTGAAGAGCATTACACCAGAAAACTAGTCTGGGAGACAGATTTTTAAAAAACAATTTTAATTTAAAAAATCTCTCTTTATGCGCACACACTCTTGACTGGAATCGAACCTGGGACCCCCCCAAAATTTTTTTTGTTAAATATATCTTATTGATTTTTTTACAGAGAGGAAGGGAGAGGGATAGAGAGTTAGAAACATCGATGAGAGAGAAACATCAGCTGCCTCCTGCATACCTCCCACTGGGGATGTGCCTGCAACCAAGGTATATGCCTTTGACCAGAATCAAACCCAGGACCTTTCAGTCTGCAGGCTGATGCTATATCCACTGAGCCAAACTGGTTAGGGTGCAAAAAAAATTTTTTTTATTGATTAAGGAGAGAAAGGGAAAGGAAGAGATAGAAACATCAATGAGAGAAAAATCAATGACTGGCTGCTTCCTGCACACCCCCTGCTGAGGATGGAGCCTGCAACCAGGGGATGTGTCCTGACTGGGAACTGAACCATGACCTCCTGGTTCATAGGTCAATGCTCAACCACTGAGCCACATTGGCTGGGCCTGAGAGATAGATTTGAGCTCTGCCTCCTGTCTCTTGCCATTCAACTTCACAGTTAAAGCTTTTTCTTTAAAAAAAAAAAATTTTTTTTTAAATTAAAAATTAGCCTGGATTCTTCAAAAATATCATTATAAAAGAAAAGCTGAGCTGAAACCAGTTTGGCTCAGTGGATAGAGCGTCGGTCTGCGGACTGAAGGGTCCTAGGTTCGATTCCAGTCAGGGCATGTACGTTGGTTGTGGGGACATCCCTGGGAGGGGGTGTGCAGGAGGCAGCTGGTTGATGTTTCTCTCTCATCAACATTTCTGGCTCTCTATCCCTCTTCCTTCCTCTCTGTGGAAAATCAATAAAATATATTAAAAAAAAAAAAAAAAAAAAAAAAAAGCTGAGGGAAAGCTCTGGCCAGGTAGCTCAGTTGGTTAGAGCGTTGTCCCGATATGCCAAGGTTTCAGGTTCAATCCCTGGTTAGGGCACATACAAGAAGCAACCAATGAATGCATAAATAAGTGAATAACCAATCAATGCTTCTTTCTCTAAAATCGATAAATAGCCCTAGCCAGTTTGGCTCAGTTGATAGAGCATCAGCCTGCAGACTGAAAGGTCCCAGGTTCCATTCTGATCAAGGCACATGCCTGGTTTGTGGGCTCGATCCCCAGTAGGGGGCGTGCAAGAGGCAGCCGATCAATGATTCTCATCATTGATATTCCTATCTCTCTCTCCCTCCCTCTGCCTTCCTCTCTGAAATCAATAAAAATGTTTAAAAATTAAATCAATAAAACTTAAAAAAAATTATATATATGAACTAGTATATACATATATAATATATTCAAAGACTACCACTTCTTATTCTCTCATCTGACAACTGATCTTGGTCCAGCCACCATCACTTCCACCACTTCCTGCCTGGACTGTTGAATTCAGCTCCTCACTGGCTCCCCTCTACACCACACCCTTCCGCCTTCACACCCCATCCTGGTCCTCACACACAGCCAGAGGGACCAGAGTCAAATAGCATCTCTCGGCTACGCAGAACCTTCTGGTGCTTAATTCAACGCCCGGGTCCTCATCACTGCCCTCAAGGCCCTCATGTTCTGTTCCCCCTCTTGGCACACCATCCAGCCAGCCACTCTGGCCTCTTTGCTGGCCCCTGAATATGCCTGCAATCCCCTCAGGCCGAGCACCTGGGTTCCCTCTACTCTATCTCCTTTCCCCTTCCCTGACCAGCAGATCTTTACGTTTTCTCTGCCCCTCATCCCTCTATCAGCTCATTATTCTTTGCAGCACAGACCCCTCCTAGGCATCTAGAATAAATAAAGTGTAATATGCTAATTAGATAAGAGTTCCAAGCTGGGGCTGCAAGGGAAGCCCGGGTCCCAGGTGGAGGCAGCCTGGGGAAAGACGGCCTCTTGCACGAATTTCATGCATCGGGCCTCCAGTGTAATGTGTATTTATTGTTCTGCTTACGGTCCGTCTCCCCTGCAAGATGGCTCCGTCCCATAGGCAGCAGCCTTGCTTCCCCTCCTCCCATGTGTCCTCAGCTCCTGGGACACTGAGTGGCACAGGGACCAGGCTCCGGTCCCATGAAAGGAGTGGAGATTAAGCTCCCAGGCCTGGGTGACCTCAAGCAAGAGGCAGTTTCCTCTTCATTGTGGGAAGAAATAGCACCCATTGCCACCTCTGTTTATCAGGATTCAACAGGCTCTGCAGAACGGGCTGGATATACAGCGGGTTCTCCGTAACAGTTACAGTTGATATCAGTGTTGTTGTCTGACCTGGGGTGAACTGTTAACTGCTCTGTGCCTTGGTTTCCCCCATCTGTAAAATAGGGATGATAAAGGACCTGCCTCCCAGGTTGTCATGGGGACAGGGTGACCTAATAAATGTACGATGTTTACCATTCTCCCGGAACACAGCAATCACCTGCTCTGACGTGGACTGCATATGGGGAAACGCTGGGTTTGGGGGTGGGAGGAGGAAGGGAGAGGGGCCTACGTTTGGTTCAGGCAGCTGCTCCGCTCTCTGTGGCTCAGTCCCCTCCTCCCTAAAGTGACTAACTGGGGACCCACCACCACCACTTCCACCACTTCCTGCCTGGACTGTTGATGCCAACTCCGCACTGCCCACCCCCACCTCCACACACACACATCCTCCTGCCTTCACACCCTGACCTCACACACAGCCAGCCCCTACCTACAAATCTGTACCCCTCTCAGTGCATCAGGTCAGGTTCCTCAGCATCCCAGCTGTGAAGAAAGCAGTCCTACAGCTCAGGCTGGAGGCAGGGCTCAGCCCGGAGAAGGTTTGCCAGGCAGTTGCCGATTTGAAACAACTTCGTCTGCAGAATGCTCAACGTAAGCCCCTGCTGCCGGGAGCATCTTCAAGTACCAATCCCTTCAGACCCCAGAAAGTGTGTTCCTTTTTGTAGTGAAATGAATCTTTGAAGGTGCTCTAAGCCACTTTTCACGAACCAATGAATATTCATAGAGCTGAAGCAGTACAAAAATCTTATCCTTATAACAGGTGCCATGCTATTAAAACTTCTGCTTTTGTCAGTCCTTAGCATCTACTTCTATGAATGGTCATGAATTTCTATTTCACAAGGATACTTATTTTATATACACAGGCAACAGCATACAAATAACATACTTACTATAAAAAAAATAGTGATCGGCCCGGCCAGTATGGCTCAGTGGCTGAGCACTGACCTATGAACCAGGAGGTCATAGGTTAATTCCCGGTCAGGGCACATGCTCAGGTTCCAAGCTCAATCCCCAGTTGAGAGTATGCAGGAGGAAGCTGGTCAGTGATTCTCATCATTGATGTTTCTCTCTTTTTCTCCCTCTCCCTTCCTCTCTAAAATCAAAAGACTACCACAGAACAATCTTTGCAGAAGCCGGTTTCAGCTCAATCCCGCAAGCTATTCTTCAAAAAGTAATATCCTCTGTAAAGGGCTCGATAATAAAAATATACTTAAGCCGAAACCGGATTGGCTCAGTGGATAGAGGGTCGGTCTGCGGACTGAAAGGTCCCAGGTTTGATTCCGGTCAAGGGCATGTACCTTGGTTGTGGGCACATCCCCAGTGGGGAGTGTGCAGGGGGCAGCTGGTCAGTGTTTCTCTCTCATTGATGTTTCTAGTTCTCTATCTCTCTCCCTTCCTCTCTGTAAAAAATCAATAAAAAATATTAAAAATATATATATATATATATATACTTTAAAAATAATAAATAAAAAAACACAAAGTGATTGAAGCAGCCCAAGTGCCCATCAGCAGATGAGTGGATTAAAAAAACTGTAAAACATTTACACTATGACATACTATGCAGCTGCAAAAAAGGTTCCTACCCTTTGAGAAAGCATGGAGAGTATCATACTAAATGAAATCAGTCAGTTAGAAAGACAAGTATCACATGATCTCACACATATATGGAATCTAATGAACAAAATAAACTGGCAAACAAAATAGATCCAGAGACATAGGCAAACAAAATAGATCCAGAAGCATGCAACAGACTGACATATTTCAGAGGGAAGGAGGTAGGGGTGGGGACGGGGGTGAGGAAAGAGATTAACCGGGTGCACGGTTAATAGTCATGCTAGAGGCCTGGTGCACGGATCTGTGCCCTGGTGGGGTCCTCCAGCCTGGCTTGCATCCTCTCACAATCCGGGACCCCGT